GGAGGAGGAGGAGGAGTCATGTGGGAGGAGGAGGAGGAACCATGTGGAGGAGGACCCATGTGGAAGAGGAGGAGCCATGTGGGAGGAGGAGTCATGTGGGAGGAGGAGGGGGAACCATGTGGAGGAGTAGGAGGAGTCATTTGGGAGGAGGAGGAGGAGACATGTGGGAGGAGGAGGAGGAGCCATGTGGGAGGAGGAGGAAGAGCCATGTGGGAGGAGGAGGAGCTGTGGGTAACACCCCCCACGGGCACCAAGGAGGGAGAGCTGTCCAGACCCCAGGCATAACTAGTGCCTGAAGAATATCTTAGTTTACAGTGTTATTGCTCAGCTGTTTCCTTTATATAATCCTTCATATATAATCATATATTAGTTTATAGAATTAGTGCTTGAAGTGTAACTTACTGCTTACATATACTGTATCTAGCATACTTAGTTCCATATAATCTTTCTATGTAATCATATAGGTATTGTAGTCGGAGCTGTACTGACACATTTAGTGCTGACTTACAGAATCCTTCCATATAACCATATAGTAGTTTGTAGTAGGAGGAATGCTTAGAGCAGTCACAGAACAGAAGCAGTACATGGGAAAACAGCCAGACCAGGATGAGAACCAGAGACTCAGGCGGTGGCGTCCCTGCCTGAAAGGGCATACGCTGTATGGCAGGCTTGGAGCAAGAGCCCCTCCACCTGATAAAGGAGTTGTAGCACCTTGCATCCAGTTCCTGTGGAAAGTCGGCCTCAGGCCTGAGATCCTGGAAGTAACAAGGGAGAAGAACCCCTCTGGTGTGACCAGTCATGGCGGCTCTACACCCTGTCAGTCTTTTCTCGCTTCTGTGCTAGCTCAAATCATCCTTCCATAAATATCTTAAGAGAAGAGCACAGGTCTGTCAGCTCCCACTGCATTGGCTTACAGTATCCTTCTATTAGAAATCCTTCCAAGTCTCCAGCCCCCAGATAAGAAGTGTTGCGCACGACACCTGCTGCACACAGCACACCTCCTTGCCTCAGTGACTTAATGGGGGTGGACCCCTTTTCTGTACACGACCCTCTGCTACTGCGCACAGCACGGCCCCCTACTGCACACGGCCCACCTCTCTGCCCAGGTGACATAATGGTGTGGTCCCCTCGCTTGTGACTCGTGTGATTATGTAGGCCATATTACTAAGCCTATAGAAGATGACCTCACTCATGACCCTGCCCCCTGCTTGTACCTAATAAATACAGATGCTCTTGGGCATTTGGGGACCACCACTGATCTCCGCTTACAGGTGATGTGGCCCCCCGAATCCAGATGCTCTTCACCAGTTCTTCAGTGTCCTGTCTCTTTACCTCTTGGATCCAGCACCTCAACACAGCATAAGGGACACCCCACGACCCTATGGGGCCTCCACAGCCCTACAAGGAGCCACTTGTGAGAGTTGTGAAAGACACTGAGGCCTAAAAACCTCTCACTTTCAGCTACTGTGCCACCCTTAGGCTAGGTTGGCTCAGGAGCCCTTGTGGACTCTACAAGGATAGTGTTTTATTTCATGTCACAGTGGGGTCTAGGAGGGCTTCCAGCCAGTAAGTCTCAGGACCCGTGTTGCCATCTGAGGATCCCTGACGTATTTGGGGATGGTGAGGCCAGTCCAGCAGCAGCCTTGCTGGCCACATGGTGTGTCTGGGCCTGGGCCCCTACCCAGCTAGGGCTGTCACAGTGAGGATGTTATATGTAAATTTTCAGTGCCACAAAAGAGGTAGCACTCAAATGTAAATTTCCTCCGCAAGGCAATTTACTTCTATAGAAGGGTGCAGCTCACAGATGGAACAATGGCGGGCACACCTGGACGAGGGCGGGGAAGGGGTTCTTATTCCTGACAGAGGTAGCCCCTACTGCTGTGTTGTTCCACTATTGGCTAGGGTTAGACCACATAGTCTAGGCTAATTCCGATTGGCTATTTTATTTTTATTTTTATTTTATTTTTTATTATTATTTTTTTTTTTGGAGATGGAGTTTCGCTCTTGTTACCCAGGCTGGAGAGCAATGGCGCGATCTCGGCTCACCGCAACCTCCGCCTCCCAGGTTCAGGCAATTCTCCTGCCTCAGCCTCCTGAGTCGCTGGGATTACAGGCACGTGCCACCATGCCCAGCT